AAAATTTCTTAAAAATATGTTCTTTCTGAAATCTGACAGTGACTACCAAGATCTCTTTACATCTTAGTATTCCATAATGAAATACTGATTGCTCTTTCTTTAAGCCCACCTCTAATAAATAGCAAGAAAGGATTTCAGATGACCTCACTTTGTCTTCTAAATGGTCCCTGCTGACCTGATGGTCTTTTGTCAGTTTTACCTGAAAGATGCCCTTTAGAAGGTGAGTAGAGCAAGTAAGTGCTCAGGTGGGATTATCAGTTAAGGCAAGAAAGGAAGAGACAGCTTCATCCATACACAGATGGCTCATGAGGGCTTCCTGTATAAACTTGCAGAACATACCGTCTGTTAAACACAAGGATGAACAGAAAGTTCTAACTGATTAGCCTATGCCCACAGAAAAATCTCTGGTTTTTTATGCCTTACCATTTATTTTATTTTTATAGGTCATTATCAATTAAAGAAGTTAAAACTTTTAACCTGTCTAAAAACACCCTCTAACATACCAGCTTAAACTAAATCATCTTTTCCATGATATTTATTACCCCCAAGTAGGCCCAATTTTCATTGCCCAAAAAATAGTACAACAGGGTTTGAAAAAAAATATGTGCTGTTTTGCCTGGGTGCTAAAAGCATCACCAATAATTTTGATTAATGTGTCTTGACACTGAATGCATTAACCATACAATATTCTTCTTGCTTAAAGGCTAATTAGAATTCAAGTCAGCGTGATACCTGCTTTTGAGGATTATAGCAATAACATTTGTTGTAATAAGAACCTCTAGGCAGCCTGTTTTGGTAGTGATGGATTTATAAAATTATTAAGAAGGAAAAAAAAAAGAGAAAGTAGAGCCTGTCCTTAAAACACTTATTTCCCTTAAGGATCAAATTTGAATATAAATTAAAACATCTTGGTGGCTCTGTTCAAAATGAAGTACAATAGCAGATTTCCAATTCAGAAAACATACATTTCTGATTTTTAAAAAACAAGATTACATCATGAAAGATATTCCTTATAGTTACTGGGAATTTCGTGATGGTTGCTAAAAGTCTCTGATTTCTGGCTGTATGAGCTTCCTAATTGGACTCTCAAATTACTCAACTTTTCAGATGGAGTTTATGCAAGCAGGAAATAATTATAAGTTACAATAACCCAATGTTATCTTTTTAACTGGTATTTCTTCTTTTTTTTCTTTTAGGAATTTATGGCCTATATTACTTCCAGAATTTTTCCTCTGCTACTTTTAAAAATGGGACTTTGTATTTCTGAGGATGGACCCTCATCTCCAATAGCTGTAGAAGATACCTTTCAGTTAGGTTACTGAGTGCTACGCTTACTCTTAACAACACCAAAGTCAATTTCTGTAAAGTTGGAGTCTGTAAGATCTCATGTCAAGGCTGATTTTATAGAGACACAGTATAATGAGTTAGGTACTATCGCAGACAATACCACTCTTCAAATTCTAGATCTGAAGGTCAAATTTTCACTAATGTAGAAGCCAAAGTAAAATCATCAAGCTGTAAAGATTTTGTGGCCACTTATGTGATTATTCTGATTTGAGATAGGTTTTACTGTATTATATCTCCCAGGCCTGTTTGATTTTTCTAATTTAATTTCTGGGTGAGATAAATTAGTGGTGTGTGTTGAAAGGGGGAAAAAAAATCACTGAAAAACAGTTTTGGTGGAAAATGGTAAAAAACAATATTGGAAAATGCCCTGGGGCTGGGCATTGCTGACTGGCGAACTTCTGGCACTGTGGTACAGGCGAAGTTTTCTTGTGAATAGTGGCAAGAAAGAAAGCTTCCTGTGTCACCTCTGGACACCGTGATCCTTCATCCCTCGTTTGGGGCAAACACTTGGATAATAGCAGGGGAACTGCTGTGATCTCATGCTCAAGGAAACTGGGTGATCTTACCATAAGAAGGGCTAAGCAACATCTGCACATTTTTCAAAATAGGTGTAGAGTAAAATTTTTTCAAACAGAAACTTGGAAACTTACCCTTTTATGTCATATCAGAAAGAGCTAGTTCTAATGATTTTTACCGATTAAAAATATTTGAAGACTCATTCATAAAACTAATTTTCTGAGCTCAAGTCTTATTGCAGAAGATCCATGTCTGCATGGTACATTGTACATAATTTAATTTTCCCAGTTGAATATCTTGACACTATATGAACCATGAATGCATGAAATAGGAATTCCAAATGCCTTCCACATGGCAAGTGGACTTTCCAATGTGTGTACAGGAAGCTTATGAGTGGTTTGAGATTAAGTTATGCCTGTTCTCAGTGACTTGTATTATGTATGCCCTTGGTATTAGTTCTTTGCTTTGAGTGGGACCCCGAGGTGACAGATAGATGAGTCTGCGGTCTGTATTTAGGCACTGTGCTCATTTCCTGAGAGCTGTTCAAGGCATGTGGGTGCTCATTAAGTTTCCAACCATTCCCCGAGAGCAACAGGTGGCGAATCCAAGCTCCCCTGGTATGTCATGGCTGGTTTCCTCAACGTCTTAGCAATAACGAATGGTGTTTGCAAGCTCTCTGTAGCACCAGCAGATAAGAAGGAGATGAATAGCAACAGGAAGTATTTCCAAAGCATAAATAAACACACACATCTAGGAAGATGAGGACTAATGTTCTTGCTACTACACATTCTGTATCCACACAGTCAATCCATTTTACAAATCCTGCTCTTCACTCCGACTACGAAATTCTGGTTAACTATCCTATGGTTGGTACACAGCAGAAGTAAGGTAAATTAAATAAATAAAAAAATTCTAAGATAATGAAGTTATAGTACAAAATTTTAAACTTTTAGCTCTACAGGCATCTAGTGAATACTAATATTCATAATGTATACTTAAATTGGTTTCTTTTCAAATTATTTACCTATGCCCAGCACTTACTACACTATACAGAAAGCATATCTCTTATTTGAATTACAGTGACGTGACAAAACTTATCAAACCAAAATAAAACCCGTAATTTAAATCAAATACTGGATCACCATTCAATAGCATTTCTTATTCCTACAGAACAATATCTCTAGGAAGTAGAGAAGGATTTTTTTCAATTAATAGCTTCTTTTCACTACACTCATTAGGTACAGAAAGAGAAAATATCAGAGCTACATGACCTCCATAAAGAACATCCAGGGATTCCTTATAACTGCAAGAACACAAGTGCTCAGGGGAGATAGGAAATCAAGAACGACCCTCCCAACCTGAAGAAGTTCAAAACATTCAGATGAGCCACAGAGGACTAGGAAAATGCCAAGGGCCCAGTGAGATATTGTATATGGGGGAAATATAACCTTAAAACATGACAATGATAACAAGTCATAGTCAAAACCATATATATATATACGGTTTTATATATGTATATATATATATAGTGCTTTGGAGGGAAAAAATGAATTCCTTTGTGCTCCTGTTCTCTCCATCATACAGAAAGGGCTTGAGCTCAGGGGCTGCAAAGCCTTGAGTCCCCCATGGCTGCGTGCGCACTAGCAGGGGCTCCTGCTAACCCCGAGTGCTTGTAGCAGAGGCCTGGTCCCAGCTCTTCCAAATGCCTAGCTGTTAAAATGCCTTCCTGCTGATTTATAATGACACTAGGTTCTTTTTAATTAATCCTGAATATCACTTTCCTAAATTCATTCAAAGAATTTATGATCTCCTAATCGTTTATAAAAAGTTGTCATTTTTAATACATGGAAGTTGCTAATGCACTGCCATAAATTAACTCTGCAATATGAAATTCCATATTAATTTATGGAGTTATTCTGGCTCTATATCACATGATAAGGAAGTGCCTTTGACTCCTTAGCAAATGGGTGTCATACGGGGCACTTTCTACTGGAGAAGCAAAGACTAAAAATATATGAAAAGGACATATCTGAAATTTCTTGATATCACTCTGGAAATATCAAACCAAAATCTCTTGAGGGTTCACCTGGAGGACATAATTTTCATATTTATTAGTTATACCAAATGTCCTTATAAAATATTATATACAACACCCTAAGATCTCTGCAAACTCAATTCAGAGGTACCTCAGCTCACAAATGCAATTCTTTACACAATTGTGGTTGCAACCAAATTGCAGGCATATATATACTGTAATTTAATACTTCTAAAATTATTTAACATATCCAAACTAGAAAGTTCATAAAACAATATACAGACCCCTCACACTGAAAGTAGGAATATTAATTTCAAATTGGATCAATGTACACCAGAGGTTGATTTAAAACTTTGTATGATTAAACAATGTCAGGAAAAAATGTATTAGGTTACCCTATCAAAGAGTTCTGGAATACACATTTATATTTTAAATAAGGAGTTGATTATAAATGAATAACTATAGCTAAAGCAGTAGAACATTAAGTCTTGTCAGTTGCTGTATAAACATTTTAAACATGTTCTTAACACTTTTAGGTGGTTCAAAAACATTTATAACAATGTTTTAGAACTAAGTGTTAAGCAATTATTTCAAAAGACGCATAGAAATTTTATGAGGACAGTATATGGGTTGAATCAAAACATTTTAGAAATGGTTTTCACTCTACAGTGAAAATTATAGGAAGAAGCATAAATATTTTAGAGGGATTATTATAATGGGTGAATCACAAAAACAGCTGCCTAAATGTTTGATTTATAGGACTGTTAAGACTAAATCTGGTCCAAATCTGATAGGATCTTAAGAATAAAATTAAAATATGAAGGTAAAGAGGCAGTCTAGACTTTAAAATTTTGTATAATTTCGAGTGAAGTGGCATTTACATTTATTAAGGGGCATAGTATGTTAAGTGGAATATATAGTCTAGGTAGCAATGGGAAACTTTAAATAGCTATGCTTGACTTTTAATTAAAAAATTAATTGATTGAGATGGCTGGAGAGCATTGAAAATATACTGTTTTCAATTCTTCCCTATTTCCCTCCAAGTTGGGTGACTCTCACAATTGCAAATCTATGAAGCCATGACTGTCAGTGCAGTATTTACCTTGATCCCCGGAAGTCCAGGAAGCCCAGGAAGCCCTGGTTCACCCTACACAGGAAAATCACACAGCATTATGGAAGGATACCTACTCAGTCACAGTCTCTGGAGAAAAACATGGAAATGCTTCCTGGCTGAATTCTTTCCACAAATATAAATATATAAAAAAAACTGCATAGCTTCCAGAAGTTGAATGAGATTATGCAGTTCAGTCAACTCTTGATTCAGGGATTGGTTGACTACTTTGCAGATATTTCAAGATTTTTCCTCTTCCTGCCATTCACTGCTTAGTGGCACATCTATGACAGTGTAAGAAAGAGGAGTAAAAGGAGAAGCAATGTCTCTATTATATTTCTTCTTTGCTAAATGGTTTGCCAGAGCTATTTGCAGAAATGAGGGTTTTTCATGCACTTCTCCAGTCTGCTCTCACCTCGGATAATCAAGAGTTGGCTGTATGAACAGATGGTCACATCAAGACAATACACATTAAAAGTACTGCTCACTTAAAAGGCTAGTGAGATTTCTTTTCCATTCCTGAATGATGAGAAGATAAGTAAATGGTGAAGATTATACTTAACTCCAGCCTGTGTTTCTGACAATTGTTGAGCCGGGGCAACGTGCTTAGCAGCTCAGGGCTAATGGTACCATGCAGCTGTTCCCAAATACAGGTCTGAGATTAAGTGGTGCATACTGAGGAGCACACTGGAGTCAGGCTAACCCTTCTCATTTTCACAGAATCGTCTACATTATTTTAAGCACAAAGTGTAGGGATGAGAGGTTACATTGCTTAGCAAATCTCCTGAATTCCACTGAAGAAGCATAAAGGAATTGCAGGACAAATGAAAGTCTGTCCTGGGCCGGTCGACTCTATATTTGTGGAAATAATGCTTTAAAGGTTACAGAATCACACTATTTTATGACGGTCAGTGAGTGGATGACAACCCGGAGATAGGAATGGTAGAAAAGCAGAAGGCAACCCTTTCATGATTTAACAATCCCCATTCCATTTCCCATCTTTAATATTACTTTCCAGTGATGAAGAGCTATAACTTGCTCTGATATTATCACAAAATGATTTTGGATAATAATTTATTAAGCTCTATGATTAGACAAAAAGGGGAACAATGACTTTCTTGATGGTTTAGAATTTAGACTAAAGGTACTTCAGGAATGCAAAAGAAAAACTACTCTGTTCAGAACTATGTAAGTGAAAGTTTGCAATGGGAATAAGAGTATAATGAGATTAAGCCAGAGAAGAAAGGATAATTGTTAAGACTTTATATTCCATTCAAAGACTAGTTGTGCAAGTAGATTAAATATTACACAATTGTACTATAACAGATTTAATTTTCTTTTTTCTTTCCCTTTTACCATTTATCCATAAATTTAAGAGGATCCAGTAGAAAGATCTTCTAAAATATTATACTAAAAGTTCTCTATTTCTTTAAAAAAAGCACAAAGTCATTGAAAACGACAAATTTCAGTGGAATATACAACCAATAAAATCGTGTATTGTTTTAGAACACTCCTCCAACACTCACTGTGGAGACATGCAATCTGAAACATATGTGGAAACAACATAGGTGACAGCACTATTTTCCAATAAGAATTCTCATAATTTCCTTCTCTCCTAGTCAGATTAAAAGAATTATTTACTTTAAAGAAAGACTTTACATGCATGTGTATCATGGATATGTACTCAAGTATTCAGACAATGAAAAAGATGTGTAAGACGGTATGGAATATTTTATAATGTAGGCTAAACACAGAGGTATTGGCATTTAACCTTTCTTTCCATCATACGTGTGTGTGTGTGTGTGTGTGTGTGTGTGTGTGTGTGTGATAGGTTATAAATGTATTTCTTGGTGAAAAAAATTTTCAGAAATTCATATTACATAATCTCAAATTTCTATGAATTTAACTTTTTCAAATTTATATTTCCTTCATGTACTAGGTGATATAATGAAAGATTATAATATATTTAATGTTACCCTCTATGGAACATCTGTTATCATTTTTAGGAAGACATTTCTTCCCATGTAATTCTTTCTTTTATCTTTCAGCTTAGAGACAGCCTTTCCGTTAACCTCTGCATGTCCTCTACGCCTTGTCTCAGGAACTTCTGGGAGCTGGGTTCTCATGCACATGCAGCCTGTGTGTAAGAGCTGGGTCATAATTAAGAACTAGCTTGTTGGTCTATGCAAAGAAGACTAGTCCAAGAGATTCAACTTTACAGAGATATATGACACTGTGGGTTTTGTTGCTGTCCCTTCCACTCTTCATTTTCTCTTAGGAGAAACCCTCATAAAATCAGGACTATGTTTCACTGCATGCCCCTGTTACAACAACCCAGACTTCTAGAGAGAGCTCAATGGAGAGGCTCTCTTTTGATGGACATCAAGTACTTTTACTTCTTTAAAACTAAGATATACACGTTAAAAGATACGTTGCAGCACCCTACACCTCTAGAAAGAGCCTAGTGGCGAGGTTCTTTGATGATGACCATCAACATGAACTGATTTTACTGCTTTAAAAACAAAATATATACTTCAAAAAGATGTAGAGAGGCCAACAGGCTGGGCATGGTGGTTCACGGGGGGCTGAGACAGGAGGATTGCTGTGAGTTCCAGGCCAGCCTGGGCTACACAGTGAGTCAGTCCAAGTTAACTTGAACTATGTAGTGAGAGCCTGCCTCAAAAGAAGAAGAAAGAGAAGGAGAAGGAGAAGAAGAAGAGGGAAGGAGGGGGATGGATGGGGAGAGGGGGAGGAGGGAAGAGGGAGGGAGGAAGAGGAAGAAAGGAGAAGTCAGGAAAGAAAGAACTATGTGATGAAACGCAGTACCTGTCTTATGAATCTACACATTCCTCCATAAGCCCATATAAACACCCCACCTCATCTACCATTTACATACTCTTCTGTTGAAGCTAGACAAGAAAAAATCCAGTGAGATCATCCCTACATTCTGAATATTACCTCTAGATATCAAAACTTCACCCTGGGCAGGGTCACAATCACTGGGTGTGTGCTGTGCCAAGGTCATCTGAACCTTGCTGGAACTGTCCCTAGAGGAGTGGCTTAAGTACCCTGAACCCCCAGCACAGTTCTGCACGACAACAAAAATGCAAGGGCAGCACTCATATCGGCTCTACTCTGTTCAGTGTGTCATTTTTCTCACTGAAGTAAGCAACAAGCAAGGAGATACTTTACTTTCAAGTCATTATTGGAGTATGGAGCATTACCAAGTCCCAGCAGTAGACAGAGGAAGTTGTATTACTGTGGGAAAGTGAGACCGCATCAAAGGGTAGAATCTGGCCTCGATGTTAATGAGACAGATGTTGCTCATTCCAGGGCATGTAGTAACCTAGATGGGCTGTAAGTTTTTAAGTAAATCAACTCTCTTCTTTCAGTGTAATTTAAAACTGATTTTTCTTTTTTGTACCGGGAATTGAACTCAGGACCTTGGGCTTGCCAGGCAGGCACTTGTAAAACTGATTTTTTTAATGAAATACAAAGGAAATCTAATGTTACTCTGAGTAAAGCTATAAACTTCCAGAATGAATCCAAATTGTATTTCTAAAGAATCATGGTAAGGCAATGTTTTATTAAGCAATTGAAGATCATTTTGCTTCTTCCACTCTGAAAAGAGTGGGATTGAAGATTATGGCAGAATTGTTTTGGTTTGTGTTTTAGAGGCATAATCTCATGGACTTCTTCCTTTATAGCAAGTCACAGGTTTGGAGAGCAAGTTCAAAATAGCCTTTAAGTTTTAAAGGTCAAGGGACTTGACTTGACATTATATCATCTGAGATTAGTTGTCTTTTCAAAGCAAACCAGATCATGGGCTTCTAACTATATCACTAAATTCAAACTTCTCAAAAAAAAAAAAAAAAAAAAGGAAAGAAAGAAATGTTAGGAATTAAATAGCAAAATTTTCAGAGTTCTCCTGGGCTTTTGGGAAAGTCTCAACTTTACCTGGAAATGGCCGATGAACCACTTACTTTAGATTCTTAGTTGCAAGAGAAAAGTCGTCTTGAAGTTGGAGAAATGTCAGAAAAATATGAAAGACTTCCTCAAAAATTATTTCCATACTCAGAATATAAAACAAAGCTTCCTCAATGACTTCAAGGTTGCTTAAGACATGATTTTGCTGTTTGATGTGCCTCTCCTTCCTTTCCTGCTAATGTGGTACATTTTATCTTCCTATTCATATTTTTGCCTACAACATCAACTAACTTCTGGACAAAGGCAGAGTCATGATCTTAAGAGAGATTTAAGTTAATGTGGAATTCACATTTCCTTGGGAGCTACTGTCATCTGTTATCTGAAACCTGACTGCACTGGGTGCAGATGATAAACTACGACCCTTGTTTCCTGCCTCAGACTTGAATGAGAGGATGGATTTACACATATTCACTGCACGTAGTCTAATGTGTTGCTCAAATGAAGCACAAATGGTAAACAAACTTAATGTAGCCGCAGCGTGGTTAGTTAAATTGGTATGGCTAGTGTTTTAAAGTTTAGTTTATTAACACATTTAGTTCATATAACATAATACTCGTGGCACAGGTAGAGTCATATAGAAATTATCAAGAAAAAAGTATTTGTGATAAAAGGAAAAGGAATGTAATCTTTAAAAGACTATCACTCCCTACTGAGCCAGGAGAGTAGACACTGATTTCTTCTCATGAAAGGTAAAAGGAGCATGCAGGTTACCTTTGAGCATACAAGGTAAGTTGTTGGCCTTGCAACCCAGCCGACCTGTGTTAGGTCAAACAGTGGAGTACATGCAGACTTTAGCTCATAAAGCATCCTTTTACATGGAGAGTGTTTCTTTTAATATTTTGCTATGGTCATAATTGAGACCTTTAATAATACAAAAGAGCCAATAACATTCTGCATGCAAAACATGAAAACTATATCACTTTGCAATAATCATTTTCATACTACACTGTGAATTTTACACATAAAGTGGTGAATGTGATATAGTATAAAGAACACGCTGAGGGTAGAGATGTTACCTTTTGCCCTGGGCGACCAGATTCTCCAGGTTCTCCCTGGCCAAAGAAAACCAAAGGTAAGAAGGCAGTCTTACAAGACTTTCCACAAAGCCTTAGGCCCCCATGAACTTTCAGAGATGACCCCACCTCCTTGATCACATGTGTTTTATTCTCCTCCTCTCCATCTCACTGGACAGAGGGGCATTTTATGAATACACCTAGAGCTCACATACAAATCCACATTTCCATCAAACCAAGCCAAAAGGGAAGAGAAGGCCTGCCTTCTTATTTAAACCCCACCAGCTGCCCCTGAGAGTGTGGTTCACAGCTGACTATGGTAGGAGAATAGGAACAGAGCGATAGCCAGGAATACTGGAAGAAGGGAAGAGAAAGAAGAGGCTTAGAAATTCAAAATTGTGTCCCCTGTGTACAAACACTTGCATGGTTATTACCTTGATTCCTGCAGCAGATGATCCGGGGTCACCCTAAAATAAAACCCATGAGAGATTATTCCATCATCAAGTGTGAGAATAGGAGACATCACCCCTCCCCAGAGAGCCATTAACCACAGGATATGCAAAGGGGTGCAATGCCTAATGGCTGAACTTTGCATTGTAAGACTTTGCCCAATATGTCAGCTGTTAAAATGACAATGACTTAGAAGATAAACAATGTACTCCTGTAAACACGGCTTTACTTTGAATGTAAAATATGTTAGGACTGTATTCCTTAAAATAAATATAAGTACTGTATATCAGTCTCTTCTCTTTCTGAAAAAAATGTGTTCTGGAGTAATAAATTATAATTTAGGAATCTGCAACTTTTGGTTTTCTCTCTTTCTAGAATTTGCTAATATCACTGGTCATCATTTCCAGGGAGTCCCTTGACCCCTTTGGTCTTCAGAAGACCAAGGTTCACCTGCTGAAGTCAAGGGTTAATGACGCAGAGCTGGAAAGAGTAGACGGGTTTGTTTTCCTCATGAAACACTGTCACAGCGGCAGCCCACATGACTTTCCCGGCTTTACACTTATTTCATTGTAACTCAGTCACTGGGAAGTTAAGGATGATGGATGACACCTGGGTGACGGGGACAGATGTAAACTCTAGGAGAGTCTTGGGATGGAGTCTGTTTTTTCCAAAGGCATTGTATTCCATGCAGATTTCATAGAGGGTGACTCCACTTCTAAAGCGAATACCTTATAAATCAGCAGACAGACTAGTGGGGAAAGAATATGGAGGAGTGGGGAACACTGTGATTTCTGAAACGAAGCCAGCAAAGGGCCTAGACTTTCAAGCTCCTTCTAGGCCTCTCTGTCCCATGAACATGATCAAAAGAAAACTTCTGTCATCTGAGACTGTCAAGAAAATTGGAACAGCCACGGGAGGAAGAGCACACTCCAATTTCCTCAGCTGTCTGTCTGTGCAAAGGCCCAGCCCATTTGGGTGTTCTGGATTCTTGAAGCTGCTCATCAGTCTCTCTTGGAAGCAGACATGGGCCTCAGGCCCTGTCCCGTCCCTCACATCCTCTCCTCCCTTCTCACGCTGGTACCTTCTGTTTCACAGCTTAAATGGCTTTGCCTCAAAGAGGCCTTCGCGATCAGTAAAGGACATGATCAGTGTCCTGCATGCAAACCTCCTACACGCCGCACCTTGACCTCCTTGTGGCACATCTACCTTCCTTTTCAGGACTCTTTATGTTTCTCACATGCGCCGAGCCCAGCCTCCACTTGATAGTCAGCTGTGGCTCTGCTAACGCACAGCCCAATCGGAGTGTACACTCACTATGCATCTGGTACACAAGTGAAAGATCTCAAAAAAAGTTTTAAAACAAGTCATTAGTCAAAGATCAAAAGGAAAAAGCCTTTAGGAAGAGGGGGGAAGGCTTTGGTAGGAGAAAGAAACAGTAAATTAGTTATATGTGAGTTTCTTTGACATATGTAATCACTGTTAACCAGGAAAAATTAAAATGTGACTAAACAAAGTAGAGAACTCTAACTACTGTTTTTCTGTGCATCCCACTTCTTTTCTTTTCAGGCATCAGCATTCAATTGAGTTCCAAACGGGAGGTAAAATGATGTGGCTAATAAAATTCTTTCCTTTATTTCTATTAAGTCCAAAAGCCATCAACATTAAAGAAGCAGGCTTGCAATAATTTGCACAGTAAGACCTTTCAATTCATAAAAGCAACCTTGACTTTGTGAAATTCCTTCTTTCATCTCATTAATGCCTCAAAAAACTTTCAAGAAACAGGGCAGATGTTATTATTTCCATTTTATAGGAAAAGGAATTGAAGCAACTAGAAATTAAGTGAATTTGGTACTTGCTAAATTCTATTACTATGTTCTTATTATTCTTGGTACCAGAAATCGAACTCAGGACATTGTGCTTGCCAGGCAGGTGCTGTACTGCTGAGCTATATCCCCGACTGTGATGTTCTTTTTATTAGAATAAGAAAAGCATTGTTGGCTTATTTCATTTTGACAATAGGACAAAAACGCTGAGGTAAACTTGTAAATAAGTTGCTTATAGTTAAACATTTTTTCAGTATTTTAATTAAAAGTGGGTGGATCATCACCATAAGAGAACAAAACCTTGGCTTCTTTTACTTAGAAATTGGCAGGAAAGAAAAGGACAGATTCCCGAAAGGCGGATTTATTTGTGGAAATCTGAGAGGTTTCTTTTGATAGACAGCTAAGAGTGATATTTTTATTCTCTTTTTAAAGATCTGGAACTGTGAAATCTCCAGGAATTTTTGTAACTTTTAAGTGGAAGGCAAGTAGTAGGAGACATTCATAAGTTAAACATTCTAAAGGGTAATGCTACAAGAAGTGGAAATAAAACTATGTGTTTATAATTCTTCTCCTCCCAAAGTGAAAGCAAATACAGGATTAAAGTGGGGAAAATTACCCCAATGTCTTAAATATGTTTCTAGCTTCATAAGCAACTTGGTTAGAAATAAAAATTCGTACAGGGTAAGTCAGAGATGGAGGCATACTCTGAGAAGATACTTGAGTAAAGGAACTTGCTTTCACTAATTTTGTATTGACACTCACTTTCTGGTTTTAGTTAGGATTATTTTTAAATGCAATACTTGGTAGATAATCATATGTATGTGCTAATAAAACATATATATGGGAATACAAAGTGAGTGTGGTAACATGTTCATATCATTCATTAATTCACCCCAGAGGTATTTATTGAGCACCGATTACGTGCTAAGTGTGTTTTAGATCCAGGGATGCTGGAAGCTGGAGAAACAACACCATACAACACAGTGGAATACAGTTACAATCCTTGCCTTTTTTCTGTTTTTACAATACACACTATGTTTATATATGGTAAAACATTGATTAAAAGCATAAAGAATATTTTCTGATTTTCTCTTTCCTTTTAAATGTCTGGGACAAAAAAGATGGCCATGTTTGGGAAATCCTATGCCACTGTGTATATACACAGAAGACAGGATAAGCGAACACACAATACAGGAAAAACCCCTGGCATTCTATGAATATGAAGTTCAACAAAAAAATTTAAAGGTTTTTCATTCAATAAATATTTTCTAAGTCTGTGTTAGGAACTTGGGTTGGTGCTGAGCATAGAACAGTCTAGCATCATATAGTTTTTTGATTTATTTATTTTTGCTTTTTCAGTGAGCTGGCTGTCAGATTTAAAAAGAAATTATACTACAGTGTACTGAGGATTATGACGGAAATCATAGAGTACTGTTGGAAGATGCAGTAGGAGACCTAATCGCTCAGAGAAGAGTTAAAGACTGCCCCAAGGAAATGGCTCCTAAGCTCTGGCTGAAGAATGAGTACGGTAGAAAACCTGGACGAGCCCAGGCATGGTGGCGCAAGCCTGTATGCAACTCGAGCACTCTGGAGGCCAAGACAGAAGGATCACAAGTGCCAGCCCCATCCGGGCAATTGAGTGACTTAGTGAGACCTTGTCTCAAAATAAAAAATAAAACGGGCTGGGGATGGGATGTAGCTCAGTGTGAAGGCCTTGTGTTCAATCTCTAGTACAGGGAGGGGTAGTTGGGAGCCAGGAGAGGCCTGGAGGGAGGGAGAGAGGGAATGAAAGAAGGAAAGAAGAAAAGCAGAAGTGAAGAATTGGGAGAGGAGGGCAGCGCGAATCTAAGCAAGGAATGGCACGAGCTGAGCGAGAGTGGGCTCAGCACTGGCCGCTGCAGGGGTGCATGGAGGGAGGTGAGGTGTGAGTTTAAGAAGATAACTTGGCTGGCCGCTCCAGATGTAGTGTCATTTTTGAAAAGACTCAAGAGGCTGCGTATGAAAAATGTCATGCCAATGTCAAGTCCGAAGGCGGTGTGTCCAACTGGTTAGAAACTGGGGGAGCGAGGAGAAAGAAGCCAGACAGTTATGCCAAGGAAGGAGGAGTTTACATGAACAGGTAAGCCACGCATGATAGGGCGACACAAGCATCCTCTCCCACATGGGTGGAAAAAGAGAGGAAATACATGCTGCAGTCTCTGGTGGGGTTAGTACCCTTCCACCGTGACTCGACACATGACTGAAATCAGCCTCGGGCAGGTGATTCTTGCGCTTGGAGTACACAGCAGTTGCAGGCCACAGAGACAACCCAGCCCCGGAGCTTTAAGAGCCCCACAGCATTTCCAGATGACCAGTCTGGACGGCTTAGATTGCTTTACCATCCAAAGGCGCTGAGTTGGATCAAAAGGTAAAAAAAATCCTATCCTATTAAAGTGAATCAGTCAATGATGTAATTTATTACATCAATGGCAGAAAAGAAGTATTTTTTTTTTTTATTTTACATCCTAACCTTGGTGAATGATGAATGGGTTTCACATACTGAACAAAAAGGCCACAAGAAGAGTGTTTCCAACATGCTGGAAACAAATTATATGACAGAAGCAGGAAATGTTTAAAAAACACATCAAAAATTATATTCCAATTACAGCATTCTTGGGATGAATGCTGCAGGTCAGGTTACATATTATACATGTTACAAATTCCTATTTACAATCCCCTGTTTAGATCCATTCAAAGTTTATAGAAATGATTTCCGTTTTTGTACTTAATTTCAGCTTACTAGTAAAACTTTTTGATAAAAAAAGAGAAACAACCAATCTCGTTGATTTCCATTTCCATGTGGTAAGAAAAGCTAATATTTATTGAGAGTTTATGATGTGTGAGTCAGGATGGTAAATGATTTGCACTAATATATAAAAGAAAAACAGTACTCCTTTGAGATGCGTTGGTCTTTTCAAAGAAAGGAGTTGCTTTACAATTGTAAAACTCCATTTCAAAACGTGTGTTATTAAAGAAACAACTATCGGCCTGCCTTTCAGAAATGAAGCTTTAAAAATATACCTACTAAAGCAAAAAATGTTCTCCATAAACCCACAGAGGCATAGTTCCGACTCGGTATAAATTTGTTTTTTGCTTGCATAAATTGCCCTTCACGTAGTGTGTCTTGTTACTTTCACAAAGAAGTTGGTAACTGTGACCAAATCCAGCCGGCCACCTGCAAGGCCTATGGGCCAACAATGGTTTTTGCTGTCTTACGTGGTGAAAAAGTCAAAATAACAACATTTCACAACACGTGAAAATTAGACAAGATTTCCATGGCCGGTCATAAAGTCCTATAGGACACAGCCACAGCTGTTTGTGTGTTGTGTGCGGTTGTGTTCACATGGCAACAGCAGAGCTGAGGATTTTTGAGAGACTGTAGCCCCCGCCAAACTGAGAATATTTATTTTTTTCTGGCATCTACAGAAAAAGTTGGTTGACCTCTGCTTTTGAGCAAAAATAAGAAAGTTCATATACCATCATCCAGGTTTATACACCTAGGGCTTCACACTCTGAGTTTGAGCATAGTTGGAATATCTCTTTGGTCTTATTTGTATAAAACAGTTTTATGTCATATTTGATGACAGCACAATACTTAGACTTGGTAGATAAATAAAATGATACTCAAGGGCTATTCTGTCTTGGAGTCATACCTGGTTGTCAGACTTAGGAGCATCTGATGGATAGAACCCAAGAAGGACAGTTCCCACGATCGAGCATTATTGGTCCCAGAGCCTCAATGGCACCAAGGCCAGAGAGCCTGCTCTACAAGAAATGCCATTTCTTCTAATTCTTAGACAGCTCCTCCACCATGAACTTTGTCGCTACTTGGTGACATTAATTTGTCCCCTCTATGCCATATTTATATTAATATTAATGAGAAGGAAAGACACAAATTTCTGTTTATTTTATGGGCATGTTTTTATGACTATTATCCATCTGTACTGTAATAATTTTCCAAGTGAAATAGTCTTATCCTCAGTTCTAAGCCTGAATAACAATTCTTTTTTTCAAATCAATTGAAATTTGACTTGATTTACATTAAAGTCCATCTGATTCTGGTGTATAGTAAGTTCCTTAAAATGCCTTCTTCTAAACTCTTAACACCGTAAATGTAGTAGGATCCTTCCTATGTCAGGGATGTCACCATGCCAGAGATGTCCAAGTATCAAGTAGGCAAAAG